ACGCCGTACAGCAACATGCTCTCTCCGCTTTGCAGCCAGCGCAGAGCCAGGGGTTGCGCAATCCAAGGTGAGGCAGAGCTCGCTGCTGCCTCACCGGCATCGCTTCCAAGCATTTGAATGGGAAAATAAGAAAATTCAGCGATTTTGAACAAATAAAAATCGAAATTGGTGAAGCTACATGAAAAATGAATATTTTTTAGTACAAACCACCGGATGAATATAACAATTTAAATTACTTTATGATTATATATTTTCTTTCTTTCCATGATGGCTGGTGAGGCACTGCCTCACCTGCCTCCCCTGACCGCACGTCACTGATCGACACGTCCGCAAGAGAATCGATTCATGTATTTTTTTCCCTCCGGTCTATTTTTATCCATTTGCTCCTGGGCGTAATTCTCCCTCCCGTGCTGCGGTGGCGCTAAACCTATTTTGCCCTCCTACCTCGCTTCCTGGTTATACTCTTACAGCAGTGTGTTGCAGTAAGCTTGACACAGACATTTTTAAATTATGCTCAATATTGAAGGTCTGTGCTATACGCTGTGGGTCTAGATACGGCCGAGGCGTAGAGAAGTGGGGGCGAGTTAGTCCGACGACAGAGGGACATGAGGGCCAAAAAGAGCGGAGATCCAGGTAGAAATGTCATGATCTGGCCTGTTTGCTCTCCCTTAATTAGTCATTCCTTTCACCTGTATTTTTCCCTCCCTGCCTCAATTATTATTTATTGTTCTCACCTGTTTCCTGTGGTTTATATTCAGTTCAGCCTGAGCATTCAGTGCCAGATCATTATTTGTTTCCTGTTAGTCTGTCTGTTCAGTTTTAGCCTTGGTTCATGCCCTGGATCCTGGCAGCCAGTGGAAAGAGGTTTTTTGTGTTTGTCTCGTCTCGCGATCCTCCACTGTTCCACCCTGGCGGAGTCCTCTGGGTTCCATCGTTCTCGTGCACCTTGCTCTTCTAGCAGGTCACAATTTGGGTCATAAAAACAAAACAAGCCGGCCTCCTGTCTGCGGCACTGTCTGTGGTGAGCTACAATTTGGGAGAGTTGCAGCGGAGTGTCTGCGGAGGGGGCGGGGACGTCGAGTCGTCGACACTCTGCAGCCGAGGTATTGAATTGCACTCATTACAATGATTTTGTGCAGTATTTTTTGATGCAACGCCTTTCAGAATCTGTAACGCAGGGGTATTATTATTTTTCAGTGAATGAGGTTTTAATAGGAATAGGTGGAGTGCAACTTTTATACTTCTGTTATTTGCTGTTGTTTCTAAAAAAAAAATGCATAACGATATTACAGCTTAAATTGATTTATTTCAAATTTGAAACATTGTCTAGCCTGTAGGGTGTTTAAAAAAAAAAAAGAACCGATTAATCGAATCGTATCGTGGTGTATTCTTGAGTATCGAACATAATCGAATCGTTGGCTCAGGAAATCGATACTGAATCGAATTGCCATGATGGATGTGATTTACACCCCTACTATATACTCTAATTTACGATTAATCGATTACTTAATTAGTTGACGATTATTTCAATAATCGATTAATCACGATCATAATGATTAATTGATTCAGCTCTACATTTAATAGACTGAAAATAGTGATAAATTCTATAAAATATACAATACATTCTAAAACCTTACAATTTCCTTTAAGGCTCCTTTGTTTTTTTTGTTTCTCATGTGTGGGTCAGCACTGATCAATGTTGTAACTCTGGCTGTTTTTCATGTCCTGTTTAAATTAAACCTACGATTTCCAGTTGCATGAGCAACTAGTAAATGTGTATCACTACTACTAATGAAAACATTCTAGATTCATGCGAGTAAGGATTACATTTGACTTAACATAAATAATGACACAGCAGTCAGACTGCACATTAAAAAAGAGAGAGAAAAAAGCAAAGGGTATCCCTACATTAGGAATTTAAGACAAAATGAAAAAGGTCCAGGAGAAAGAACAGGCTTCAGGAATCTAAGCTATGTTGAACTGATAGATGGGAATGTTATAGAACCATGCGCAGCACAATTCTGGGAGCTATTTTGAGATGGATGTGGGTTGCGGGTCGGCGCTGTCTTCTCTGCTGTCTCACTTCAGATTTTTCTTGTAACACACCTCTGAGTCAGAGAGCGACAATCACAATATTAACTGTGTTATCTGTAATTTCAGAAATTTCCTGCTAAGCTTTGGGGACCGCACCAGGCAAATATAAGAAATGCTGCCAAGTAATTTAAACAGTGCAACACTGAGGAAGCGTCCTACCTTCTACATGTCAGACTCTAAGATTTAACCACAGATTAATTTCCTTTAACATATTACGGGAAATCAAAATGAAATAAACTCAACTCTGTCCACAGACAGAGTCTAATGACCCATCATGCTCATCTGTCGGCAAGACTGAATTCATTCCGGAGAAGCGGAGGTTTGGCTGCGCGCTCTGGTAACAAGCAGAGGCTCATAGTGTGAGTCTCGCCCTGCAGTGACCCCTAATGAGCCAACAGCCTCCTGCCAGAAGCAGCCAGGGTTGCTGCACTTGTAATGAGCTGCTGTTTTGCTACAGGCCTTTCAGACGGGCCATGGAGCTGACATCTGCACCACAGGACGTGAGGAGCTCTGGCAGATGATGCAATTCTGTGGCGATTCTATGGACAATGCTTCCATTCAGAGATGCCTCCAGTTTCATTCTAGCACGCGTCAACACACATATACTGTTTTCAGAATTATAAATAACCTGTATAAATAATCATATTAATTGATTATTGGAATAAATTGTTAACTGGATTATGGAGATTCTAAGACATATTGTTTGTTGAGAAACATACCCGCTCAAAGCAGTAATTTGCCAAAATTGTAAAGGGTTTATACACATTTAGCATTTAACCTGTTAACTGGGCACACCAAAACACTTACTGTAGAAAGGCACACATTAAATCAGATGCTGTCCTTTAACCCTTGATCTGCTCTGTCATTTAAAATAATTGTAATGGAAAAGAGTAGCCTTACTGTGGCAAGATCAGGCTTAAAGCTTGAAGGGCACCACAAATGTCTGCCCCTCAGATGTGATGGGACCAGTTAACGGGTGAAGATGAAAAACTTTTCCTAGCCTCTCTTGGTTTAAATACTGTATAAAAATCTTCCTTAAGCCCACTCCTATTTCTTTTTTATCTTTTCTCCATGTTGGAGACAAAGTCAGTATCTCCCCTTATTTACAAACTATTGACCAAGAGACATGCTGATCCACATGCACCCATGGTAAAGGGACTACACACTGCTAAAGAAAAAAAAAAACAAATAAAACAGACCATCGGTTGGTCCAGCTTTGCAGAACAGCTGTTTGGGCATCCTTCTGAGCCTTTAGCATGGTCCCCTAACCCCTGTTTTCGAAGCAGGAACTATGCTGAGGCAGTGGTGCATGTGTTTACCTACCTGCAAGCACTCAGGGTAAGTCATGATAGGGTCTGAAGGGGGCGGGGTTCATGTTTTCATTGAGTCTTCTCAAAAATATTTGAAAATAAGGAGGCACTTGTGTTTAAAAACACAGTCGACCTCAGCAGATGGCCGCTCACACTGAGCCTGGTTCTTCTGGAAGTTTCTTCCTGATTAAAAGGGAGTTTTTCCTCTCCACAGTCACTACAAGCATTCTTAGTGTGAGGGATTGCTGAAGAGTCAATGAGTCGATGCAATCAGAAGGTTTTTCTTACATAGAAAACTCTGAATCAATTTGACTGGATGATCTGGTGAACTGGAAAGTGCCTTAAGATGACATGAATTGGAGCTATTTAAATAAACTAACTTTAATTTAATTGAGTTTCAGCGGTCATTACGCTCAATAAAAGTCAGTTTATTGGCCTAATTTCAGTGTAATTTTGACAACTTTTAGTGTAACCAACCTTTCTGCTAAAATGTGCTGGAAAGAGCCCTGGAAGAAGGAGCCCAAATGTCAGTCAAAGGGCCGATGTAGTGTCCTGAATTTCAGGACAAAATTCAGCTTAGCCACTGGCTACACTGAAATATGCTGGGAAGAATCATGCAATTATTGATTCATGGAAAAAAAAAAAAAGTTTGATGGATTTATGGATTGGCAAGAGGATCTTTACTTAGAGCAGCAAATGTAAGATTTTATCAAAATCAAGCAAAAAGAGATAAGGTTTACAAGACACAGAAGAAACACAAACCGTAACAGGGACAGCCACATGCTGTGGGGAAAAAGTAGCTAAACATTGTGATGGAGAAACCTTGGTATTGTTTCTGCAGATACAGCCCTGTTATGTATCCATAGAATGAACCAGTCAGAGTCTAAATCAAAATTTTAAATGTGAAATTGTGGGAAAATTCTTGAAAACAGCTTTTTATTCTGACGAAACAAAATCGTGTAAATAATGCTACCTTAATCTAAAGTTAACGAAATCTGGGGTTAATAATGTTAAAAAAAAAAAAATTCAAGGCATAACAGAACTTTTGCACTTTGGAGCCTTTGCTCAGATCAGTTGCTATTATCTTCAGCCAAATTACATCCAACTTCTAATAACTGTGCCCTGAAAGTCAATGTTGGGCAAGATGTTTTTTGTTTTGTTTTTTTCATTTTATACACTTTATGAGCAATTAAGACTGACAAGCTTGCTTTATTTAAAGGATTTATACATAAATGTCTACTTTTAAAGTCATTTCCACGCAGCATACAAAGTGGGACCTTCTGTTACCAGTGAGTCATCAGGTTTGTGTCAGATATGGGATACCTCCATGAGCATATCCCTGGCTAGTCTCCTGTTTATTTGTCGTTAATAAACAGACACTGGGTGCGCTTCTGTCCGACGCCTGCTGCGTCCAACGCGCTGCAGACGGAAACAGTCAGACTGCAGCCTGAGCCGCAGAAAGTTGGCACTCCGTCTCCAACTGGACACGCAGAGACGATGAGAGGCAGAATAAGGTTGCAGGTAGTATTATCTGAGCTGAGCAACCACGTGTTTATTAGTTATACCCGCTCCTACAAACAGAACATCTGCACTTACCTCCACATCTGGAGAAGATGACCTGTTTGTCTTCTGCTTTCCTCTCCTCTGCCTTGTCCGTCTCCCTGTTTAGACAGTCACGAACATTGACTCCGGAGCGTTTCTTTTCCTTACAGTCAGCGGCGCTCACACCGCCACATTTCTGAGTCGCTTGGTTTTCCAGTGCGGGATTTTCCTCTCTTATAGAATGGAAACTTTGCGGGTTATATTACAATGAATTATAATTGAAGCTGCAGAAATCACCCACCGCTTCCCCTATGCAGCATCACTCTGGTCTGCTCCTCTCCTCTCCTCTCCTCTCTCCTCTTCTCTGCTCCTCCCGGCGGCAGGAGGGCGGCGCGCTCCAGCGGTGCATGCGTGGCACGAGCGCGCGAATATTCACCTGTCATCGCCGGATGCAAACGCATCGTTGAGTTCAGTAGGAACATTTTGCAGAGATGTCCTCATGGCTGCAACATTCAGGGGCGTTCATGATTTTTTTGAGAGACAGTGCGACTCCAAACTTGCAATAGTGACGGATTTAAGAAATGTGGGGCCTGAATGCAGGCATGGGACCCTCAGAGACAAAAAACAAAACAACAGCTTGATAATAATGGAAAAACTGACATTTTAAAAGAGTATAAATGCAATTTTCCTCTTGTCTTTTTTATTTCTTACTCTTACTGTCTTTTTCACAATATGTGTTTTTCCAGCCCTTTTAGATGTCATCAACTATTAAATGTCCATTATTATTAGTTATGAGTCCCATATAATGGATTAGGACTGTGTCTAGGTTTGTTATGCCCGATAATATCCAGCTTATTGTTGATAACTGTTGCTTTGGCTCCATTTAATAGAGCACTCAGTGAAATACTTTGTAAATCTAAATTTCAAGCCAATAGTGTTTTTGGAATCCAGGACAAGACCTTATTACATTTGTAAATGAAAAAAAAAGTATGGATATTTTGATGGTAAAAATTAATGTCAATTAGGGATGCACGATATAATCGGCCCCTATCGGTATCGGCCTTAAAACTGAATATCGGCCACCCCACCGATATTTAACCCGATATTTGATCAGCTTCTGAGTTTCTAAAGTCTAAAAAAATTTAAAAAATACTACTTCTTCTTCTTCCTCAAAAACTTCTTTTTTACAGACTTAAAAACTTCTAAAGACGAGGGAAAAAATATTGATCCATTAAAATATCCCAATATCTTCATATGCTGATATATTGCCATTTAAAAACACCATATCAATCTCTTTTACTAATGAAATATTGCTATATGTCATCGTTATGCTACGAAATCCCCCGAAAATTCACGAAATGTTGCCATATTTTTATATGTTGATATAATGACGCGGTATCGATCTATTTTACTAACAAAATCTCACAAGAATTTGCAAATTATCACGAGAGTTTGTAACAGAACGATGAAATTTCACGAGATTTTGAAAGTAAAATAGATCGATACCGCGTTTTTAAAAATCAATTTGATATCAGCATATGAAAATATATTTGAGTTTATTATTTTTCAAAGTATCAGAAATGGATAACAAAATTGCTATTTTCAATGACTACTTATTTTTGTCCAGCTTTAACATCGGTATCGATATCGGTTATCGGCTACATGAGTTTTAAAATATCGGCATATCGGATATCGGCCAAAATCTCAATATCGTGCATCCCTAATTTTTAATGTAATAACAAGAAATGCCAACTTGCCCGAATATATTGAGAAAAATAACAAAATTGCTTCTATAAGAAATTAATGAAAAACACTCTGAGAGCGATATAGACACAAATTAACATAACCTTAGAGACATTACTGCTAATACTGGTACTTCATTTTTTGGTTTATAAACCTAAATATAATAGTTAACTAGGCTTATTATTTTTTTTAACTGTACTTTTTAACATTTTACCTTTTTTCCAACTTTTTCCGACTTTTACTTTTTATCTCCGTCATTTACTTAGAGACTTAGATTTAGACAGGTTTTATTTTTTCATTTTGTATACACAATTGTAAACAAAAAGAAATTTCAATTAATTTCAATATAAAATGTACCATCTTTAAATAAAACTTTATTTTTGATGAAGTACAATGTCATGATTTTATCTAAGGCTCGGACCCACATGCAGTGAAACCAAACAGAGAGACACAGATAAAAAGTTGAGCGGGTTTTATTGAAGAGGTTAGCTCGGTGCAGAGTCTCTCGGTACTCTGCTCAGCCGGAACTGGAAGGCGAGGGGAAGACAGACTGTTAGTTCAGGCTCAGTGGTAAATTTGATTCATAGATCTTGAAGGAGAGGATCTGTTTGTTGACTCACGTTTCCAGAGAAGTGAAGGATCCTTGACTCCAATCTGTGTGTTGGTTTTCCAGAGTATTTCTGATTCTCCTTCTCAGATTTCCTACTGTACTTGAACGGGGCGTGGTGAAGATGATTCCCCTGCTCAGAGAGTAATTTCAACTTCCTCAAAACGAGACTGGATCCAAACATCCTGTATGAATCCCTCGCTCAGTTTAAGACTCAGTTGATCCCTCCTGGGAGAGGAGGTCCGAAAAGGTCCAGTTTGCAGGATGACTTCCTGCCGAGAGGCAAAGACAAAAACAAAGTTAAATCTCAGGGAGACAAGAACTCAGTCTTACTCAATGAAAACTCGGCTTGGCTAGAGTACCAAAAACTGGCAAACACTCTGGCGTCGAGGTAGTGGCAATCAGCAGCTTAAGAGCACTCCGTTAATGAGGTAACCGGCAGCAGGTGTGTGAAGAGGCGAACCGGAACCAGGTGCCTCCTGCTGGTGGAAGGGAGAACAACACAAAAGACAAACACACAGACTGGAGTCCTGACATACAAAATGTTTCAGTCAATACCAAATTTAATGTTGTGTTTCAAAACCAAGAGGTTGACAGGATCTAAGATTTTTTTTTATTTTGGTTTGTTTAGTGTAAGCTACATGCAGATAATTTTTTAACAATACATGAAGAAGTACAAAAACTATGATTACACATAAGTAGATTAATTCTGCAGGCAAAAAAGAAATTGATTTAGGGTTAGGATCCATTTGGAGATAACAATCCACTGAGCGTACTAGTAGGTAGGAGGCACAATCTGAAGCCCTCCTATGGGACTGATAATCACTAATAACAACCATTTAATGGAATGGTGACACCTATATTTGCGATTTAATGGGATAGATGCACATGCACATATATATATAAAATTTATATATCAACTAAAAATATTTTTTTTAGTACTGAAAATTAAAATTTCAAATATAAATTGGAAATAAAAAATCTATAGCTTGTAAGTAGAAGTTGATTTAGATAAGACTCCAGGGGGTTCCTGTAGTAAACCTGCCTCTTTAATGCATAAATAAATAAAATAAAACAATTCTCTAAATTTTAAATAATCTGTTCTACTTTCTCTCTCCTCTGTGTCACTGAGCAGTGCTGCAGAGGCCAAATATTTAGTTTATTCGCCTTCACAGGTTGATGATTTTGTTGATGGGGTTGCTAGTTTTCTGAAGGGTGCCTTCGACAACGTAGCCCATTTGGAGAAGAAGAACTTAAAACAGAAAGCTGGCTCCTGGTTAAATGCAGGGCTACACACTTTGAAGCAAAATGTTAGGAAATTTAAAAGAAAATTTGCTCTCTACATGACTATAGGAATCCTACCTAGTCTGGAAAAACTGTTTTCTTGTGTATAAAATGACCCTTCGTAAAGCAACAGCAGCATATTTCTCATCATTAATAGGGGAGAATAAAAATAATCCTAGTTCTTTATAGTACAGTTTCCAAACTTAGCCAGGGCAATAGCTATGTTGAGCCATTCATTCCCCTTGTTTTTAGCAGCAATGATTTTATGGTATTCTTTAATAATAACATTAATTCCAATAAAGATAAAATAATTGACATCCATCTACATATGATTGGCTTATCTATGAAAGGTCATTATAGAATCTGAACTGGGTTAAGACTGTTTTCATCCAGTTAAACTTTCAAAGTTCAAAAGTGCAAAACTACTATCTTCATCTAGGCCGTAAACTTTCATGTTAGACCCAGTTCCAACGAGTTTATTGAAGGGAGTATTCACTCTAATTTCCTCCTCCATTTTAGAGGTGATTAACCTATACCTGTTACAGAGATATGTATCTCAGGCTTTTAAGGTAGCTGTAATTAAACCTATAATTAAGACACCATCTCTTTACCTAGATGACTTGGTCAATTATAAACCTATATGTAATCTTCCTTTTTTATCTAAAATTCTTGAGAAATATTTGTTAAACAAGTATTTGACCACTCATGCCACAATTAAGGTTTTTAAAAATTGTAATCTGGTTTTAGAGCTCTTCATATCACTGAAACAGCTATGGCTAAATTCCCTAATGATATTTTCATGGCCTCAGATAATATACTTGCATGTGTATTTTTCCTGTTAGAGTTCAGTGCTGCATTTTATACAGTTAATAATAATATGCTATTAGAAAATTTACTTGAATATTTTGTAGGAATTAAGGGAACTTCACTAAGCTGAATTAAATCGTATCTATCTAACAGATTTCCGTTTTTTCTCGTTGTCATGAAACAGGACAGAAGGGCCCAGTATTCAAGGTGAGACAGAAAGTGGGAGAATTCAAAGCATTTGCTTAACACAGGAGAGGGCTGTGGATCTGTGGTATCAATGGCCAGGGTGGGGCGCCACCCATCACTGGAAGCTGTAGTTGTAGAAAAACACAGATTAGTGATCATGATAATCAGAGGATGAGTATCCATGTGAGTCACTAACCTGGTTTAACAGTTCAGTCAATCTCCAGAGAAAGTTGTAGGATCCAGCCGGTGGGCTGCAAACGGGATGAGGCGGGTGCCGCTCAGAGTGTCCCAGATGCTGCAGCCCTGAAGAACCTGCAGGAGTCTGAGCCAGGTCAGGGAAACAGAACAGGAAGGCTCAGAGGTCCAGGAGTCCAACGACCAGGTAGGTATACCGATCAGAATAGCAACAGGCTGGTCCAGGGTTCCAGGCATTCACAGACAGTTAGGGCATAACGTTCAGATGGGAACAGGCCCTAGAAAAGTTCTTGGGGGTGCACATCACGGACAACCTCACCTGGACTGTAAACACTTCATCTCTAGTGAAGAGGGCACAGAAGCGCTTGTACTTCCTGCGGAGGATGAGGAGAGCCCGCCTGCCCCCGCCCATCCTCACAACCTTCTCCAGAAGCACCATAGAGAGCGTTCTGACCAGCTGTCTCTCTCTGTGGTGTGGGGGCTGCAGAGCCTCCGACTGGAAGAATGTGAGGAGGGTGGTGAGGACAGCGGAAGGAATCATTGGGGCTCCTCTTCCCTCCATTAAGGA